TTTTGTTTACTTCAAATTCAACGCCCCGCCATATTCCTTATCAAAACTTAAATAATATTAAACTTTATTGCAAAAATTATAGGTTATTTTCAGCTCCTTCAGCACTGAAGCTACCGAAAGTATGTTGCTTTTTAGATTAAATTTGAGACGAGCCTTTTAAAGGCTATTAAAGTTTCATATAAGAAAAATGTTTGTATATATAACATATATATATGTTTATATATAACATATAAAAATTTTAAAGCATCTACATGACAAAACCTATGGATATTTATTTATAATTACAGATAAAATATAATAGATATAAAGAACGAATATTTTAAATATATTTTCGTTGCAGTTTCTCTTAATATATGCAAAAAGTTCAGACTTTTTTGTTTATGGAATTTATATTACTTCGTTTACACAATCCAAATCACTTATTGGTACCTATAACTATAGCAGATACCAGAGAACCCTATCAAAAGAAAACAATCTCAACAAAATGGACCTGTCCGAAGAGATAGATTGTAGACTCTGCTTAGAAGCAGAGGAGACAACCAGCCACATTCTATGTGACTGCCCAGCCTTGATCTGGGCCAGGAGGAGGTCACTGAGTTGGGAATTGCTCTCCCCTTCCGACATTAGGAGGTCCTCAACGGCCGACATTTTAGCCTTCATCCGGAAGGCGGAATGTCTTCTGTTCAGTTAGGGTCTGTTGAAGCACAAAAGATCAACATGGTCGCAGTGCTCTGCTCAAATGGGAGCTAGTACCCCGTCCTTTCTCTATCTCTATCAAAAGAAAAACTTAGAATCATCACAGGAATCCTAACAGGGCACCGAAACTAAAATACCACTTTTCAAGACTGGGTATACTTACGGCTGCAAACTGTAGATTCTGTAAAGAGAATGAGAGTAGGCCACAAATGTGCTGTTAGAATGCCCTGCGCTAATGTACATACGGAATAGGCTCCGGGGAATATATATTCTTACGAAAGCGGCAATAAAACTCTGTAAATTAGGTAATATACTACATAGAGACGTACTCTAAACCCAGAAGAGGGCACAAAAGACCCGACGTTCGCAATGTCACATCTCTTAACAATATGGATATTATTTCGTTGTAAATATTGCAGTTATTTTCAATCACATATTTCACTTTTTTTTACGTATCGTTTTCTAAAAGTCTTTTTAATTCATTTTTGAGTTCAGAGTGAAACTCATATGATTCGTTAAGTTATAAACAATATTAGTTAAAGCGAGTAAATGGCTAATATTTTTAAAAATATTGTTGAAACTCTCTTGAGACTTTTTAAAGCTGCCATTAGACCATTTCTTGATTCATCTATAAATTATTTAAAAAGTATACTTTATTCTGATTCATTTTAATTAATAAGTGACTTCGTATACATATTAGTATGTTTTTCATAAAAATTCTCTTGTATGAGTATATGGTATTTATACATAAATAGCTTTTGACGCTGTATGTTATATAAGTATACCTATGACATTTACAAAATACTGCATTTAATTTATCTTCACATCTCTCGTTCAATATTATTTGCCATTCCTCGACTAATATTTAAATTGATGCCGCCATATCCTGCACTTTAATTACAATTCCTTTTTTATGGATGTAATTAAATAAATTTAATATCTTTCTTTATGTTTTTTTTTACCCATAAAAATAAAAATCTACATGTAGATATGATGTATTAGATATATATGCTTGCTTTGTATGTAACGATCTGAACAATATGATACATGGCAGAGTTCAGGTAACCGTATGTATACTGCACACTCAAATATCTTTAAATGGTGCAAAATTTAATAACAAAAATTTTTCATACATTTACAACACTCGATAAATATTTCAATGTCAAAAATCTCATAAATGTTGGCCCTGAGTAACACAAAAAAGTAACCCTAAAAGGAAAGAATTTGAAAAAGGACAAAGCCATACCAAGAAAAAAGCAACTCTAGAAAAGGCAAATATTCTACAAAAGTTATATTAAAAAGGGCCAATGGATCAGGGTTGCAAGCATACACTTCACCGTACTGACACTGACACAAATGCTACTACAAATCAATCAATAATTGCCTATAAACGATACTAAAAGTAGCAGCATCAGCTGCAGCAGCCATAAGGAGAAGTGTTGTAGTAATACATTTGAGGCATTAGTAATGGCAGTAACGTGGCATGTCATCATGATTCATTTTCAGACACATGTGAACACATCACGCCGCAGCAAAATTGCAATGAAATTTTAGTATTATTTTTTATGCCACGGCCACAAACGACTCCCCTAGTCAGCCTTTCTCCGCCTATCCGCCTCTCTGTCTGATGTAACTTAACATACGAGTACGTGTAGATATGCAAAAAATGCTGCAGTTGTCACCACTTAACTTGCAATCAATAGAAACTGCGCTTACCACACTACAGCATCCCGCTATCTCCTTTCATTTCATTTCATGTCTTATGGCTGCTTGCTCTATTGTATTCCACTTCATTTTTCATCTACATAATATCACCAAGTGGCAAGTATCTACAAAAGCAGCTATCACATTAAAAAATACACGAAATTGCATTGAAGATGCTCATTATCAGCATGGAGCACTCTTTGTTATGTCCTCTCGTACAATGAGGAATCTGCGTTGTTATTTCTTCAAAAGGCAGTCACGAATGAAATGCCTGCATAACAAGCACAACAATGACAATAGCATTCAATAGCTTTAATAGTGTATCTTGGAATTGTATAATTTTTTTACATTAGATATCATCTTGACAATATCTTTTACAGATAATTTGACTGCTTTGTATTCTCAACAGCTTTCATAATAAAACGCGGATAAAAGATACTGCAAAGTCTTTTCTTCAATAAAAACGTTCACCTAAACTTTGAACTGAAATTGATTGATTGTATTTTGGTACATATTTTCAAATTGAATGCTAACTTTTATCTTAGTTAAATCATTTTGAAGCTGCGTAAGTAAACATAAATTATACAGAAGATGGATGATAGAAGATAGAATATGTAATGTAATATGTAAAGAAAAAATAATTCTTTGTTATTTGCATTAGAAATGTAAATTTATACCAGAATTTCCATTAAAATTTTATAAAATATCTGAAAACATTCACAAAATAATTAAAAGAAATTCAAATTAATAAGAGAGTTTATACATTTAATTTCAGAAATTAATTCTTCAATAAATTTCTAATATTTATTAACACCTCTTCAATATAATATGTATGTATATCTTTTCTTGTCTTGTACATATTTATCTTTCATCTAATATATCTAACAAATCTAACTTCCGTATGTTTATGTCCGCGAGACTCGAAGAATAATCATAGGTTAACTTAAAATTCATACACACCTCTGCATTTCTATATACATTTAATATTATATAGATTTTATTATCCGAAGTTCACATGAGAACCGAAAATCCAAACTTCTAAATGCAAGCAAATGACTATATGCACACTATTAAAATTTTTTCAATTCATTGCTTCAAAAATATTAACTATTGCTTGATGAAAATCTCTGTAATTTACTAACTATTAGTTGAAATATTATCATATTTTGATACAAACATCAAATATCAAACATCTTATTCCAAATAGATTTTCAAAGAAATGTTACTCGTATATTAGACCACAAACTTTCCTTTTCATTTCTTACAAATATTGGTCTACAAATGGGATTGACCCATTCACACTTTGTGTAGACCGACTGACACCACAAGAATGGTGATTGAGTGGAACGCGATGGGTAGCAGAAGATAAGGCAGACCTACACACACTTCAAGAAGGCAAATTGATATGGAAATATCACACATGCGGTTGAAGCTACTAGCCAACAATAGTACCGAGTGTATCCCTATGCTCTTCCTAGGAGTTAAAGGATTCAACATATAATGTATATATTTGAAAGATAATAGAACCATACATTTCTTTGTAACTATTGATAATACAATGCCAATTTTTTTACTCTTCTAATGAGTATTTCTGTTTAAAACTATGAGGAACTAATATCATTTTATGTGATTAGATCGAATTAAAATTATTGGTCCACTTTAAAAATTCTTCTTGTTTTATGGCGTTCATGGACTGTTGCTGTTTAGAGCGTAAGAGAAAATAATAATATTAACAAATAAAATTAATTTTTTAATTTTCGATAATAAAAAATTAATAGAAATAATGGTGCCATTTTTTATATTCAAGATTTGCAAAGTAAGATTCGGCTTTACATAAACTATCTTTTATATGAATATATACCACATTGATTAATTATACTATTTTTGATTTTTATTTTATTTTTATTGTTTTAATTTTTTTAACCTGAACGTAATATTTGAATGATAGGATGAAAGACTTGATAACCAATTGTAACAACCCGTGCCGACTATATATACACTGATTTAATGAATTACTGAAATACCTGAGCATATTTAAAACACCACAACATTTAACAGTTAGTAATTAAAATTATTTTCATTTCTCACAAAAATCATTAAAAACCCAAAAGAAGTGACCCACAAAAACCTAACATAACATAGGTTCAAAGCTAATGGCTTGAGGTCATTCAAGTACAACTGACACAACAAAACAATTTACACTTCACTTAATTTGCACAAATGTTTGCCAACTTTATTGCTAAACATAAAAGGACACCCATAACCAACCTTTGTGATCCTTACACAGTACGGAAATAAACGAAAAGGACGTCAACCAACCAAAAGGACGACTTGACCAAGACGAGGAATAAAAACTAAAAACTTTCAAAGTGAAATAAACAGTTTTAATTGACAAGCTGCTGACTTCAATGAGACATTTTTATATTATAATGACATTGTTGGTTTTAAAAAGTACGAGTGTACATATGTACATATGTATATGCGTATTGTATATATTAATTTTCCTTTTAACCTTTATATGCATTTTTTATATAATATTTGTATATCAAATTATGAGAAATTAAATTAAATTTGTTACTTTCCTTGCTCTTCTCTTGCAGGTACGCATATATTAAGCACAAATCGTGAGTAAAAGTCTTTTCAAAATATTTGATTGAAGTTGTTTTTGGTGTATAATTTGTATAGATTATGTTTTGAATATACGAGTACACTGAAAGACTCTAAAAAATCCATGAACCAGAAAAAGATTTACAGCAAGTAATGCATTTCCTTAAACCACATCACACAATTGCAAATTATAAATATTTTTTTTTATTTTGGCCACTGACAGTCCTTACCAAAAAATAATTCAAACAGAAATTCTGCTCCTCGAAATTTGTTCAACAGCTTCATTTGCAAATGTAGAATAAATCCATAAATCCAAGGGGAGACTTCAGATATCCTCTAACAAGCAGTGACTTAAAATTGCAGTCCAACACACTTTTTATACTTGTAGATACTTTAGTTTTTTCTTTTTTTTTCGTGATTGCGATATTTAAATTGTTCTGAAACTTTAGTAAAATTAAATTTCCTTTCTTCGCTTTCCAACCTTGTTGCTTTAGATACAAATATTTTCAGGATAATATTCAGTAATGAAACGTGAAACGTGAAACGTTTCAACAGCAATTGAATATTTAAAATGCTTATGAAGTTAAATATCTCATAAATTTTAAAATGAACTTAAATGTACACATCTCATAGATTCTTATGCGATTATTTTATTCAATTATTTTGATTTTACAAATATTTCGTAGAAATGGAAATTGAAGAGAAAACTCGTAAAATTCCTTAAGAGTGCCATAACTTTTTTCATTAAGGATAAACTTTTGTTAATTTCTGTGGTTTTTACCTATTATAAAATTGCTTAATTTAAATATTTTTAATGAAGAAATTTCAATTTAATTAAATAAATAACAGAACAAAATAAAAAAGAGAGCAAAGTAAATTTCAAGAATTCTTAATGAGAAACTTTTTTTAATAAGAAACCTAATAAGTTTTTTTATTACCATGACAATTTATTTAATATTGAATGAGATATACGTTTTTGTTATACTACACTACCTGCGATTTTTAATAATAGTTTTTCAACTCATATCAAGAATAAATATATAATTTAATTTTATCAATTACTCAAAATGTAACTCTTATTAAACATAAAATTACATCATTATTTTTAACTCTTGCAAAACAGTGATATATACATATAATATATAAATAAAAATATAAAACATTAGAAAAAATATTAGGAATGCATAAATATACAAAACATAGGCTGTGTGGATGAGTTCACATAGAAATAGAGTAACGCTCTGCTCTAGAAACAGCCTACAAAAAATATAGGACGAGTTGGTAAGATTAGAATAATAGTTACATAGAGTTAAAGAAAATATATCGGTAGAATTCCTAGAACAAATTGCACGTATTTGTTGATAACTAAACTGACTATTCTCATTTCAAAACCCCATTTCAAATTTAAAACTATGTCATACGGAAAAAAAGAGTGCGCAAAACGATAATTAGAACTAATCCCATATACGAATGTGGTGTGAATAGTGAAAAGTAGTGACATTGCAAAGCTGACTTTAGATAGCTTAATACAAACTCTCTGCAATAAAAAAATTAAAAGAATAGTAAATAACAAAATCCTTATTTAAAGTAACAAATTCCATTCCATAAAGTACGTGGTTCATGTAGTTGAAATACTTCCTGACAGACCTTCGAGCAAACGTTTACCACAGTCATAAAAAATAATAGATGTTCTACTTCCTTTCCGAGAATAATATCAAACATAAAAGATATATTTATTTAGTTATAGAAACTAAAGTGTGAAAATATTTAAATTATAATCTAGATATTTTAATTGTAGTATAAATAATATTTATCAATTTTTATTATTTATCCTTGTATAATATGTATATATAATATAGATATAATATAAATAAACATAATATTTTGTTTCTTATCCTTACTAGATACGAACAGCGCAGTGAAGAGAAAGAAAAATTGTCAGTTTGTGTAAAAACAATTGAAGTAGCTCAGGAAGACTAGATAGTCAGAGCCCTTTAATTCTGGATTTTTGTATATCTTATCAATGGTTTTCATGAAGTTTTAGAAATCTTTGATTTTTTACTAATTTTTATGTTACTCTACTATAAATGCATAGATGTGAAAAACAGAGTCTTAAAATTTAAAAAATTACCCATTTCACTTGAAATTTTTCCATAAAATCTTTTGAAAGAACTTCAAAAAACATTTCATTAAATTTTTAAACTCATTTGAGTTCATTTAGTTAAATTAATTACCATTTTTCATTTATTTTTTGGTTGCTTTGAATTTGAACCCATTTAAAAGCAAACAAAAAATATTTTTAGACGTTCATGGAATATGAGTTTTCCAGCAAATTTAGTTGCCTTGAACGTTTTCCTTTTTAATTAAAAACCACGGAGCGGAAAATAACATCTAAAATAAAATTAAAATTACTACAATTAACCGAAATATATTTGCTGCTTTACCCATCAGTAGTAATAATATTTCCCTAAACGCACACATGTGCATATATTTTTCATTAGCACAGGTAAAGTTCCTTTATTCAATGAGGATATATGACGCCCGAAACCTAAACCCAGTTAACCAAGCTTTATTAGAATCCTTGCGCACTTATTTTTATGACAGAAAATATGGCAAATTATTATGATGAGTACATCGCAGCTGTTTTTGTTAATATTGTCGTTGCTGGTAGCGTTGGCTCCAACGTTATGATGACAGCAACTGTCGTTGATTTGTCCTTCTTATTTTATTTTTGGTAAGTTTTATCGGAGCCCTTCCCATATGTAATGCATATGTTTGACAAAATAAGTATAAGATTGTGAGTATGTGAAAGGACATTAAAGAACACCTACTCATATTATATGCTTCAATTAATTTCCTTTTCCTTTTATTATTGTGGAAGTTGTAAAAGGATTTTTTTCGGACGCCTATTTTATTATGGGAATTAAAAACGTTCTTAAACAAATTTTATGGAGATGAGTTTGCCTAATTGCATTAGATTATCATTTTAGCAACTGGACTTTGATATAAAAACTAACTTATTGCATTAATTTTATTTTGATTAAGAACGTATTCCACAAGCTATTTCCAAACTCCATTTTATTATTATGTTTCTTAAAGTATTAAATAGTCATATAGTGGGCTAATTTTGTTAATTTAAAGATTGAAGTTCTAGAAAAGTGGATCAATAGGTTACTATTTTAAATGATTAATTTGTACATAACTAAAAAAAAAGCAAAATTATATCAATAATATTTATAAGAACCAGTAGCTAAGATTAAAATAGCGAGTTTGCAAGTTTTTTAACATTATTTTAGCCAGAGATGGCATCCTTTTTTCTGTTTCTAAGTGCCTTATCTGCTTCAAACGTTGCCAACTTCATGAAATAGTAGCAATATACTTTTATTTAACCATTCTCTTAGATTTTTAAGACAGTGGATAAGGTACTACCAATTTAGTAACATGTGACTAATAAGTTAAAATGGGATTTATTAATGAAACTTTTCTTAACTTAATATAATATATATGTCTTAAGAACTTGTTAAGTTATAAATACGAACATTTTTAAATTCATTTAAATTTAGATCATTACAATAAACAAATGCCTTCGAATAAAGTTTCCTTATTTGAATCGCTATTCACTGTATGATCCTCGAGAAAAATTTAATTTGCTCAATCCCTTGAACAGAATAAAGTTAATAACGCATCATAATTATGCTTTTAATACGAGTAATATCATACGATTATTCACAATCAAGCGACGAATAACAGTCGAAGCTGTTAAAATCATTCGTACCAGTTATATTTTTCTCTTGATAGCCATCAAGTTCATCAAGAATTCTATATTCTTTTGAAAAAAAAAGAAACATTCCCTTTAGACAGATACTAGCCCTTACCCAACACTTATTTTATTCAAATATTAAATAGTAGATAGTAAATAATACTGGCAGTTCATCTCACAAGAAGACGTAACTCACTTAGACTCTGTGATACCATAATTTTAGGAACGCGCTAAGTGCTTTAAGGAACATTTTGGACTTGGAAATCACTATGTCATTATAAATAAATTATAAATAGGGAATAGGGAATATGTTTCTCATTTTTCTATAAGCCAAAGTCAAGCGCCTAACCGATCAACATGCCTGCCTGTAAGACAATATCCCGTGAATATAGTATTTTTGTATTTTACAGTGAGGGACGACCAAAATCAGCAGCTCTGGGATTCCATCCTGATTATAGTCGGTTCATGTCATATGTTTGCTATACCAAAATGTTGGTCCAAGGTTTTGAAATAATTTAAGTCTATCATCAGTTGAACTAACGCCAATGAAATATTCACGTTTATGCAAATTGATGTTATAAGAAGTAGTGTATAATTTCTGGACACTTTGTCCAGTTTATTTATATCCATTACAGATTAATCGAAATGTACAAATACTCCATTCCATTCCATATTCATATATAACATAAATATTAAATTTTAAAATTAAAAACCGTGTCAGTTTTTTTTCTTTTAAACTGTTCAAAGAACTTTTAATGATTAGAGGTTTTAGCTGTCACTTACATAATTCAAACGTTTGAAGAAAGGACTTTTCTGCAAAATACTACCACTTAAATACACAAATCATTAAGCAAAGCAAATGTATAATAAAACACTTTTCACACATTTAGTTTACAGCCATCATAACTGATTATCATTTTAAAAAGGGAATAAACGACATGGGAACCGGGAATCGTGTTTTCATTCACAGCTTAGTACGTCTTTGTATTAACTAATTGTATACTCAAACATATTTAGCTAATCTCGTTTGGGGTCACAAGATGGCAGTGATAAACTTAGGATAATAAATTATGTTTAAGTTCTTTGTAATATTGCAAAAGATGTCAAAATAGAATATAACATACAACATACTCAACAACAAAAATGACAACAGAAAAGGAAATCCTCATTGCACACGAAAACTGCCAACTGCAGGAAAAAGTATTAAAATTTTAAAACGAGCACACTTAAGTCACACTCTTAACACTAAAGCATGCT